CCCCCCCCCCCCCCCTCCCACTCTGTCCTTCTTTCCCTCTCCCTGTGTCTATCTCTCTGTCTCGGCAAACCTCTCTTCGTCTCTATCTTTTTTCTTCCCTACGTGCCTACGTACTGACTGTTTCCGCTGACAATCTGATTGTTGCTATTGTTGTGTTAATTTTTTTTCTTCCTGTGGCTCTCCTTCGGGATACGTATACTAGCGTCTTCTCAGGTATTATATCACCTCCGCTGAAGTACGATCCCCAAATAGATCCATCCCAAATTCCACGGTGGCTACCTGCAACGGAGGGGAGGCCGTCAAGTCACGATGTATGCATGTTTATCTGCACTTATCAGACCCGCTGCGAAATACCGATTTTCGCTTGCAATTGGTTCCCGCATGTGCCTTTGCAGAAGCGAAGACACATTGAGTTGCTTGGAAAAGATTCACATTCGAGAAATGTTTGCTCATGGTTGCTGATGTCTCTCGTCGGCGCACGACCTTGGCGAGACGTTTCCCCCCGCAATCTCGTGGAAGCCTTTATTCGAGGGTCCAGTCGCTGGTGCGTTGGAGAAGTCGCCCTTCTTGACCGCTGGTCACCATAGTGAATTTCATTTTCCTGACACATCGCTCCTTCCGTTGGTGAATTCCAGAGTAAACGGGTATGATGGGACCTCCCTCAGACGCCAAATGCATCATTATACCTGACATCGCCACAATCGGCTGAGTGTGCATCGCCTAATCCTTTCGGTCGGTTGTCTCCAAACCCTCCCCATCCTCTGCCTGCCCCCCCCACCCCCATATTTCGCTCCTTTTGCGCCCCTTCTTCGCCCCCGCCTGCCTTTGTACCCCCACTACTGTCCCTTCCCCCGCGTTGTCCTGCATCATTTCCTGCCTGGACCCCTCTGTTCCCACGGATTTCTCCCGCCACGGCCGGTCCTCCGTGTCCTATGTGGGGCCCGCCTGCCGCTTCTTCAGGTCTATACCTCCAACTATCTTTCCACAGGTGAGCTCTCCTTGCCAATGTGTGCTTCGAGCCCCCGGTGCCTCCTCCCTTTCGTACCTAGCCATAGGACAGAGAGGCCCATACCGTCAATGTGTTGTGGCGTTGGTGGCGGGCTCGGGAAGGTCAGGTGCATGCTCCCCGCCAGCGGCCCATGCGCCGATGAGAATGTTTCAGGCCACAGAAGCAGCGCTCGGGAATGGTATAGCTCTCGTGCGATGCGTCTCGCCAAACTCACCCTCGCAGCAGTTTCTTACTGCTGTCGCTAGCCAACGCGTGGCGGGGTACGTAAGAAGTGGAGACTTGCGATACTGGCTGACCATCAGCGGTATCCAAAGGACGCTACAGCAACTAGCATTACCTGTAGGTCACTGTCGATCCCGTGGTTTTTGGGCTCACCCTTGTTTTGTAGCTATAATATGTCATAGCAATAGACCGTGACGTATACCCCCTGGAGACGCCATGGATTGAACAAAGTTGGCTCTCCGGATCGAGGCGCATGGAACACAGCAGCAAAAAATATTCGAGATGGGGGGGGGGGG